AAAACACAGAAGAAATAGACATATTTCTTGATACTTCTGAATTACCAAAGTCGAATGAAGAAGATAAAAAATTCTAACCCTAATTACAGTTAGTGAAATTGAAAAAGTAATTAAAAGTTTACCAACTAAGAAAAGCCCAGGACCCGATGGATTCACTGCTGAATTCTACAAGACATTCAGAGAAGAACTACTGACACTACTCTTTAAGCTTTTCAATGAAATTGAAAGAGAAGCAATTCTTCCAAATTCATTCCTGGAAGCAAGTGTTACTTTGATTCCAATCAAAAAAGAGAACTACAGGCCAATCTTCTTAATGAACATAGATACAAAAATCCTCAATAAGATACTGGCATATAGAATACAGGGGGTCATCAAGAAGATCATACACCCTGACCAAGTTGGATTTATCCCAGGGATACAAGAATGGTTCAACATACATAAATCAATAAATGTAATACATTATATTAACAAATTCAAGAAAAAAACCATATAATCATCTCAATACATGCAGAAAAAGCATTCAAAAAAATTCAACACTCATTCATGATAAAATCCTGCAAAAAATTGGAATAGATGGTCTTTACCTCAACTTGATAAAGACTATGAAAAACCAACAGCCAGCATCACATTACATGGCCAAAAATGGAAAACCTTCAAATTAAAATCAGGAACAAGACAAGGATGTCCACTATCACCACTCCTGTTCAATATAGTTCTGAAAACATTAGCCACAGGAATTAGATATTAGAAAGAAATTGAAGAAATGAAGATAGGAAAGGAAGAAGTTAACTGCCATTATTTGCTGATGATATGATACTCTACACAGAAGGTCCAAAAAATTATGCCAAAAGACTTCTAGACATTGACACTTTCAGCAGAATAGCTGGATAACGTCAACACTCAAAATTCAGTAGCTTTCTTGTACACATATAACAGACTCACTGAGAGAGAAATTAGGGAGACAATTCCTTTCACAATAGCATCCAAAAAATGTAGTATCTAGGAATCAATCTAATGAAGGAAGCAAAAGATCTCTACACTGAAAACTACAGCACTCTGAAAAAAGAGATCGAAGAGGATATAAGAAAATAGAAAGATCAGGTAGGAAGAATCAACATAGTGAAAATGGCCATACTACCAAAATTGTTATACAAATTCAATGCAATCCCAATTGAAATTCTAACTGTATACTTCACAGAACTAGAGAAAATAATCCAAAAATTCATTTGGAACCAGAAGAGACCTAGAATAGCAAAAGCAGTTCTAGGAAACAGAAACATAACAGGGGATATCACAATCCCCAACTTGAAACTATACTAAGAAGCCACTGTGATAAAAACAGCAAGGTGCTGGCAAAGAAAAAGACCCGAGGATCAGTGGAATAGATTGGAAGATACAGAAACAACTCCAGATGTACTCAGCTACCTCATCTTTGACAAAGGAGCCAACCATCCTCAGCGGAGGAAAGATAGCCTCTTTAATAAATTGTGTTGGAAAAACTGGATTTCAACTTGCCAAAGATTAAAACAAGATCCCTATCTTTCACCATGCACAAATAAAAAATCAAAGTGGATTAAAGATCTAAATATTAAAACAGAAACACTAAGCTTGCTGGGAGATAACTTAGGTAGAGCTATTGAACATATTGGCATAGGAAAAGAAATTATGAACAAATCCTCAGTAGCACGGGAACTAGCATAAAGAATCAAAAACTGGGATCTCATTTTTTTAAAAAAAGCTTCTGCACTGCCAGAGAAATCACAAGCAGAGCAAAGACACAACCCACAATGTGGGAAAATACTTTTACCAGCTCTTCCTCAGACAACGGTCTACTATTTAGAATATAAGAAAAAATAAAAAGAAAAAAGAAAAAAAGAAAAATAGACCCACCCAAACATAAAGACCCAATTCAAAAATGGGCATCTGAAATGAACAGACATTTCTCAGACAGAGAAGTAAAAGCAGCAAGTAAATATATTAAAAAATATTCAACATCACTGGTCATTCAAGAGATGCAGATGAAAACAACACTGATTCCACCTTAACCCACAAAGAATGGCTGCTATCAATAAATCAACCAATAACAAATGTTGGCAGGGTTGTGGGGAGAAAGGAACCCTTCTCCATTGTTGGTGGGAGTGCAGACTGGTGCAACCACTGTGGAAATCAATATGGAGATACCTCAATGAACTAGTATTAGAGGTTCCATTTGACCCAGCTGTCCCTCTGATGGGTATCTTTCCAGAAGAATTAAAAGAGTCATACCATAGTGATACATGTGCACCCATGTTTATAGTGGGGCAGTTTGTAAAAGCAAAAATTTGGAAACACCCCAATTGTCCATCATCTGGAGACTAGATAGAGAAGATATGGTTTTCTCTATAAAATGGAGTACTACTCAGCCATAAAGAATGAGAAACTAGAGTCATTCATAGGAAATTAGATTCATATTGTGGCTATACTCAAGAGAAATAAATAAGACACATGTGTAAATACCAAATAGTTTCTCTTTGTGTGAAAAACTAAAAGTGTAAATAAGATCCAAATTGTATAACTGATAATATGAAATAGGAAGAAAAGGGCTAAAGGTGTAGGGGAAGTGGGAAGGGTAGGGGAAAGCAAATAAGGGAAAAAATATGAGAAAAGGAAAAAATGGAAGCAAAGTCTTTGTAAATAAGGGAGGGTGGAGGGGATGAAGGGACGGCTCTGGGGTATGGGGAAAAATGAGAACCAAGATCTGTCATGTAAAGGCAGAAGTTCCCAATGATGAATGTAACTGTACTGTATACCTAAAATGTACCAATAAACTCAATGGAAAAAAAACCAAGAAAGGTTGAGCATTCAACTCAGTGCAAAGGCTTTGGCTTCAATTTCCAATATCAAAGGAGGAAAAGATTGTGAGCCATGCCTTCCAGTTTGACATTTCATTTTAAATTTTTTACAAACAAAGCATTTTGTCTTAATTCAAATATGTTAAACCTATGAGGTCACAAACATGAATGACGTGAGGTTATTGATAAATAGTAGAAAGTAAAGTTATACACTGTGTGAATCACTGGAAACTCATGACAGTTTCATTCATTTGAGAAATTCAGCTTGCACATCTTAAATGTCAGTCCATCTGACAAGCACTGGAGATTTCTGGGAGGATGAAGACATAGCCCTTGTCACTTCCCCTTGTCCTCTTGCCCCACTGTGAGTGGGGATCAGGAAAAGCTGTGATTTCCGCTTCTGTCCCTTGCTGAACTATGAGATCTTGGGCAGGTTATTCCAGCTTGCTGCTCTTCAATTCTATCACATGATTGTTTTCATTAACGATTTAAACCTGTGGTCCCCAGATCAGCAGTATCAGTATCGTCAGAGAACTTGTTAGAAATGTCAAATCTCAGGTCCTGCCCCAGACTTCCTGACTCAGAAAGGACAGTGACAGCAGTTTGTGTCTTCACAGACTTCACAGGGAACTCTCAAATTTTAGAATCACTGATATAAAGTTCCAGCCTGATAAATGGTATGTAATAAAGAAATGCTCAACAGAGCCAGGGATTTAGTTCAGTGGTTCTGCCGCCTGCCTCGAAAGTGAAAGGTGCTGAGTTCGATACTCAGTACCACCCCCCACAAAAAAGAAATGCTCAACAAATAGTAGCTCTTAAATCTAATGGGAGAACTCAAAGTAAGCCAAGTTATAATTAATCAATTAATTACTCAATTAATTATTCAATTCAGGTAAGATGAGTCAACTATATTTCTATAAATAAAGGTAGTTATTTTCAGTCCTGATTTTTAAAGAATAGTAATGCTAAAGGGTATCTTTAATGTGGTTTAGAGTTAAGCCAATGATTTTTAAAAGTGTTATTATTTTAAACGGAGAAATTCTTTCTACAAACAAAAGTGTATAAAAATTCCTGATTTCTTCTCGCCCCCATTTACATAGTGAAACAGTTTAACACAAACAGAGGTATGTCCAGACAGCAAAGAAGTAAAATTAAATTTAGAAACAAAACCAAATATATAAAAGGATTTAGAATTCATAAGGATGGGTACTTTAAGCTCCTAGGGAAAAGACACATTATTTAATAAAATAGCAGTATAAAATGAATTTTATCTTTTTATGTAGTTAAAAAAAATTTTTTTTTGGTACCAGGGATTGAACTCAAGACCTTGCACTTGTGAGGCAGGTGTGGTGCCAGTGAGCTAAATCCCAACCCCAAATTTATCCATTTTTAAATCATGGCTTCTAAATGATCTATCATGCATAGTAAAGACTTAGCTATTCCATCATAATTTTAATCACCCATTTTCCACTTTCCTGGATTCATCTATTGTATGGAAATCTTTGATCCTTCTGAAATATATTTTGGTGTAAGAAGCAATGTATCAGTCCACCTTTATTTTCTTCATGCATAGCCATTTGTCCCAGTAGTAGTGTGGGAACACATAATTGGCAGTAGTGAAAACTAATTGCCAGAAGAAACCGCAATCTCCAGAGAAATTAGTTCCTCTGTACCTATAGTCTGTAATTGTTATGCATGGCTCATGTACTGCTCTGCAATACAGTCATTTGTCTACCTGGTTATCTCCCCAATAAGTACATTTTTAGCCCCTAGGTTATATTCATTTTCATAGTCTCCATAGTTCTTATCACGGTGCCTTGTGTACAGTAAACTCAATAAATATTAATTTGAATTTTTTGTTCTCAGGTGATCAGCACAGTACCTTTTTACAAGACCCTTATAATTAACATAACAGATATGTAGCATTGGCAATGCATATATTGTTAGGCAGTCTCTAAAATAAAAGGTTAGGTAACAATGACAGGAAAGCAAGTAGACAGAAAAGAAAAGAAAGGGAAATTGACAGGGGAGAGGGGAAAAAAAGAAAGGAAGGAAGGGCTGGAGGGAGGGAGAAAGGGAGGCAAAAAAGAGGGAGAGAGGGAGGGAGGGAGGGAGGAAAGAAAGGAGGAAGGCAGGGAGGATGGGGAGACAAAGCACTTCTTTGGTTACCTTTCTTCTTTGGTAAGTCGTGCCAGTTTTCTGGCTTTGTGAGCAAGGATGAATCTAAAAGATACAAACAAGACAAAGAAGGAAAATTAATGATTTCCCTCACCCTGGCCTCATTTCTATAGTCACATGTGTGTCTAGTGTACAATGTTGAAAGCAACCAGAGGAAGCAATCGCTACATTAGCTTAATTCATGTTCATAGTTCTACTATTTACATACTGTGACTCTGATACTGAAGAGCAGCTTTTAGCTTTGGGAAGTTGGGGGACGAAAAGTAGTTGAGTGGCCGGGATTTCTGCCTAGGGTAACGTGACCACTGACCCACTGCCTCCCCACATGGCTGGTGACCAACAGGAGTGCACTCTGGGCCTCACATGTCCACTTAAGCTTCCATCTGAGCCTTTTTGATTTCACGCAGTCCTTGCCCTTTCTGTTGTCTCCACCACTGTGTCTTCTTAGCACCCAACCTCCTAGATTCACTTGGGGTCTTGAGGAATCTACCTTCATGAAAGGACAGATATAGCTCCCATGAGAGTGGATTAGTTCTTTTGAGAGTGGGTTGTTACAGAGCAACTTTGGCTTCCTCTCCTTGCTTTCGCGTTTTCTCTTTTGCCATGTGATCTGTTAGTATACACCCACTTCTGCTCCACTTTTCCACCACGCATGGGACAGCACAAGGCCCTCACCAGAAGCCAAGCAGTTGCTGATGTCATGGTCTTGGACTTCCAGAACTAGGTGAAAATAAGCCTCTTTTCTTTAGAAATCATCCAGTCTTGGGCCAGGGATTTAGCTCAGTGGTTCTGCTGCCTGCCTCGCAAGCACAAGGACCGAAGTTCGATCCCCAGAACCAACCAAACAAACAAAAAAACAAAAAAGAAATCACCCAGTCTTTGGTACTCTGTTCTAGCAACACCAAGCGGAGTAAGATAACCCTGATGCCCATATAGCCTTTGTAAGAAGCTTTTAGTAAAACACCCCAATTAAGGTCTTTATATAATGTTTCAACAAAAGAGAGATTACCAAAATGTACTCCCCAAGGCACTAAATATAACATATTTAAAGTGTTGGTAGTATTCTACTTTTCTAGAAAAGCATTCTTTGCAAGACGCTGAAAAAGAGAAGTAATAAAGGGAGGGCAGGGACAAGGGGAAAAATGAGAACCAAGACCTGTCATGTAGAGGTACAAGATCCCAATGATGAATGTAACTGTACTGTATCCCTAAAATGTACCAATAAACTCAATTAAAGCTGAAAAAAAAAGAATATTTCTTTTGATGGATTTGGAGAATAGTGCCCTGGAGTAAAACAAAATTATTTAACAACATTTGGTACACATTTGTTGAGAGTATTTGACTATGTTGTCAACAACTCAGTACAGCCAGAATACTGTAATGGGGCCTTACCCCATTATAGCGGCATAGTTGCCATCAGGTTTGGTATCATCCAATGTGTAGGCAACCGGTGCTTCCTCTCCTTCAATAATCATGGTTCCACAGAAATCTTAGAAAATGACAAGATGGAAGAACATATTCATCATTCTATCAAACTACCCACAGCAGTTATAATGAAGCACACATTTTTCAACTCAAAGCCTGAGAACCAAATGTAGCATATTATACTCCAAATGTGTGACGCCAAACCAAGCTGATGGCAAATGGAGCATTGAGTAGTTAACATTTTGTGGAAAAATCAAACCGTAAGTCCTTCTCTACAAACAATAAGGCAATGCAATGTTTTTAATTAATCACGGCCATTATTTAGTGAAATTTGGTTTCCATGATATGTATTAATATTTGGAACCCCTATTTTCTCTTTCACAAGGAATCAGAACACAATCAAAGATGAGCAAAGGAAATACTGATGCATCCTTGTACAGCAGAAGGGACTGGATGTTTACATTTTACAAGTTCACATTTTTTGTTTGTTTTCTGAGATGGGAGTTTCACTCCATTGCCCAGGCTGGCCCTGAACTCCTGGGCCCAAGTGATCTTCCTGTCTCAGCCTTCTGTCTAGCTGTGACTATAGGTGTGACTATACGTGCATCACCATGCCTGGCCACTTACTCTATGTGAAGTAGTCTCAACTCTCTGGAAACTGCTGAGAGGCCATGAAAACTAAAATTCATAGCTTCCCAAACCCTGATTTCAAACGTGACCTCCAAACCTCCCTTTTCCAATGAGGAGCAACTTGGAAAACAATGTCAGCTCACTCTGGATAGAAGTGCTTTCTTCATTACCATCCTGAACAAAATACAGTTGGCCCTCTGCATCGGTGGGTTCCACATCTGTGGATTCAAATCTAACTGTGAGTAGAAATACTTGAGAAAAAATAATATATGTATACTGAAGTTGTATGACTTTTTGTCATGATTCTCTAAACAATATAATATAACAGTTCTTTAAAGAACATTTACATTGTACTCGGTATCAAAAGTAGAGATGATTTAAAGTATATGGAGGGAAGAGTACAGGTTCCATGTAAATACCATACAACTTTATAGAAGGGGCTTGAACATCTGGGATTTTGTTATCAATGGGGGTTCCTGGGCCCAATGCCTCACAGATGCTAGGAATGACTATAAAACTTCAACAAAAGACTGACAGAGAAATGGTGAAAATATCAGGCCAGACTCTAAAGCTTATAATAATATCCTTTTGCAGTGTTCTCCTTCTGCTGCCTCATCATTTACTTACAAATAGGAGGTTTCCTGCAGAAAATCTTGGTGGAAGACTCTGGAGCAAAGGTTGTATATGAAATGTCACCAGGAGAGCTTCAAACTAGGGAAGAAAGAATTTTGCAGGCACATACCTCCCTGACCTGTGAGAAGCCGCATCTGGAGGCCTTTTAGACTATACCTGTTTCTCTCCTCCCACGTTCCTCCACACTGAGCAGCTGTGAGAATCCATGCCCAGTCAGCCACTGGTGTTTGCATGCCCCTCAAAGGCAAGAAAGAGAGGTGACACACAGGACAGAACCTCATCAGAGAAAAGAGCCGGTGCACATGGCTTGCGTAGGCATCACTGAGGGGATGGAGGTGAGTGGGACACTTTCTTCAAAGAGTAAAACTGGTCTCTGAGAGAGACAGATACCTCAGAGGAAGTGAAGGAACAAGGAGAAGAAAGAAAAGCCATATGGAACCATTCAATATCAGTATGATTTCTGTAATTCACAGGGAAAAAGTGTAGGGGCCTTGCCTGCACACACAAAGCATCTGACAGCTCGGCAGAGCCACACTCTTAAAAAGGAAGAAGACAAGCAAGGACATCCAGATATTTAATAAAGTTCTTGATAAAGAAAGCAAAAACAAACAACAAACTAACCAGCCCCTTCTATCTTGTTAGGTCATATTCCTTGACTTTTCTGTTACTATTGTATAATAATGTACTTATTAAACCAAATGTTATTGGGCACCTATTGTATGCCAGGTACTGCACTAGACACTGGGAATTCAAATGCCCATGTTCTAGTCCAGAAAATTCAGAGGTAGGAAGAAGACATAGCACAAACTAGTAATTACATGATGACATCCTGAATTCTGGGCTATTATAGAAACACAGAGGAGAGCTCCAAAACTCATCCTGTATGCGTCCTGTTATACTGATAGCAATTCAGTAAAAAATATTTGAGGGACTCTGTAATAAAATCTGGAGAAGCTAACTCTTACAACAGGACATTTGCACTGTATGAGACTGTTAATGTCACTGCCAAAGACACTGTATTTAACTACACATTGAGTATCTCTTATTTCAAATGCCTGGGACCAGAAGTGTTTTGATTGGGAATTTTCTTGGATTTTGGAATATTTGCACATACTTGATGAGATATCTTGGAGATGGGAGCCAAGACTAAATATGAAATTTTCTAGTCTCACATATACTGTATATATATATATTGCCTGAGACAATTTCAGACGATAGGGAAGGTGGGTATGATCAAAGCACATTACAGGTATGTATGAAAATGTCACAATAAAACCCATTATTTGGTATAATTAATATGCATAAATAATTAGAATAAAAATACATAAAATCACTTCAGATCAAACATAATAATTTTACTCATGAAACAGACTTTCATGGTGTTGAATTTTTCCATTTGTGACATCATGTGGATGATCAAAAAGTTTCAGATTTGAGAGCATTTCAGATTTTGGATTTTGGAGTTAGAAATGCTTAACGTGTAGTAGTAACTCGAAATCTCAAATGCTTGAATGGAGCTATCCAATGTCTAAAATTATTTTTTAAGTATTACCAAGGCTCCTAGCCAACAAGAACCAGATCTGGTCTCACTACTGAGTGAAGAATTTGGTCTTTCTTCTTGATATCAGAGAAAGTTTGCCTGTCATACGGCAAGCTTAAAATAGAGGTTTGTAGACATGAATGTAAAGTTGGAGATTCTCTCTAACACATAAAGGGGTTCATAGCCATTAAGAGAAGAGTCTGTACTCCTGGTCTTCAATCCTATCTACTTGCCACCAGTCAGCCACTGGAGGATCACAAAAGCAAGCAACTCAGCACCGGTGTGTCACTGCCATTCAACTGAAAGACTAAAATGACGGGGCTCTGCATGCTGGATCTCATGACGGGTCCTCTGCAAAGGGTGATTGCTTGCTCAGCTGAGGCACCAATCCTGATAATCCATGGTTATCTGCCAGACAGGGAATTAGAAGCCTACGATGTGACTGAAAATGGTGTCCAAATTTGATATCCACGGGGGATTGGTTCCAGGACCTCTGCAGATAGCAAAATCTGTCACTACACAAGTTTCCTATATAAAATGGAGTAGTTATTTGCATATGACCTAAGCACATTCTCCCATATACTTTAAATCATCTCTAAATTTCTAATTATACCTAATATGATATATAATAAATGCTCTAGAAATAGTGTTATATTTAATTTCTTAGGGAATAATGGCAAAAAATCTGTACATGTTCTGTACAAATGCATTTTTTTCTAAATATTTTTGATACATGGTTGGTTGAATCCACAGAAGCAGAACCTGTGGATAGAGGACTAACTATACACAGGGAATACCGTCCTCAGGCAAAACTGTGACACTGTCTCCATTTGTCTTCAGCACAATCTTCTCCTTTATTCAGTTTTTCTTTTCATTTCAGCCCATCATACTGCCCTTTGCCCTAAATCTCAGGGACTGACTGTTCTTACCTTGGTCTCCACTCCAAAGAAAAGTAGATGTGACAAGAGTAAATGTGTTAAGACTCCAGCATGGTGCTATCCAATCCAGTAGCCACTAGCCTGCCACATAGTACTGGGGATCCAACTTGGGACCTTGTGCTTGTGAGGCAAGTGGCAGAACCACTAAGCTAAATCCCAGGCCGTACATTCATATTTAAAGCAATTAACTTAAATAAAATTGACAAATTTGAGTCCTCAGAGTCACTGGCTACATTTCAGATATTCAGTACCTACATATGGCCAGTAGCTAGTGGACTGGACATAGCAGATCTAGAAGATTTTTATCTTGCCGAATCCAGCACTTCAGTGAGCATCCTATGTATTGTTTTACCAGGTGAGAAAAACAAACAGTAGCATATTTGATGACTACATATGAATGAATAAATGACTTTAATTTAATGTAGTAGAATCTTGACACTAATAAGGGATGGCCCGAAAAGTTTTAGAACCCTCACCTTTGATAGTAGCTTTATAAACCCACACTTTAAAAAACTTGATTAGAAAATGCTGATTACCTATTTTGTGGCAGATTGTAGGAGTATTAAACAAACTTTATATTAAATTATAAAAAGAGTTTGTCATATCCCAAGAAAAGTTAACTGCATGAGTTTGTGCCAATGGATGTTATTTGAAAGAATTGTACTTAGGACAGAATTGTACTATGGCCAGAATTTGAATAAAAATAGTCACACGCAAATGCATGTGTTGATACCAAGTTTCTTGGGACCTTCTGCTGAAGATCTTTATGTATGGAAAGTACTCACCCATTTTCCTCCAGAAAGGCTCTTTATAATAGACTATGCACTTGATGACTGAACCCATAGGTACACGGGTCACCAGCTGGTTTCTCATCATTGGCAGAGGAGGATTGAAGTGAATCTTCATGCCCAGAACAGGAGGGATAGCACTAATCACATATTTAGCCTGAAAGAAAAGCAATGTGCTTAAATATTATTGGTCTTTTCAGTTTTTTTCCCAACATTCCTTCCTCATATCCTTGTTTGCTTTCAGTCTCTTAATGGCAAAGCTAAAAAGATCCTATAAAAGTTTACCACAACCCTTATTGTTTCCTAGTTCAGAGGTTTCTGTGACTTTGTATCATATTTGGAGTCAAAATCTAGTTCCTCAGTCACTTCCAAGGACATACATGTTGCTGTTCCTTGATCATGTCCCAGGGTCTTGGCACTTGCTGTTCAATCTATATGGAACACTGTTTTCCCAGTGTGTCACATGGCTCAATTCCTCATCTCCTTCAGTTCTATGCTCAAATTGATATCACCTCAGCCTTCCCTGGTGACTTTATTTAAACTTATGGGCTCAGTCCTCCTGAATAATGAACCTAGGGCCTTTCCACTATGCTATATTCCCAGTCCTTTCATAATGTTTTTAAAAATTTGAGACAAGATCTCATTAAGTTATTAAGTTGTCCAGGCTGGGCTTGTGATCCTCCTGCCTCAGCATTCAGAATGCTGGAGTCACAGGTGTGATTATGGCCTTTCTCGCTCACTAAAATGTAAAACTTGTGAGAGCAGGATATTGCACTGGTCTTGGTTACTACTGAATTTTCAACTCCTCGAATAATGCCAGACAGGAGAGGAAAAATGGCAGAGCAGTGAGTGCCAGCATCTCTAAGACAAAGTGCCCAGAGTCTGGAAATCAACAAGCTGGAGAGGAAGCAAAGTGAGTGGAGGGCATATGGGAGCCATGAGGGAACTGACAGAGAAGAAAAAGAAAATAGGATCTATTACTGCAGAAGAAATAGCTCACCACTGCAGACCAGAGACTGAGTGGTGTGCAGAGCAGCTGTGCAGCTGCTCTGGCGGGGAGGCAGCAAAAATAACTGCTCCACACTGCAAAATGAAAACCTGACCTGGACCAGGGAAATCTTATGCAATTGGAGGCAGCAGTGAGAACACAAAACAATTTCCTGAGCGGCCTCCCAGAGTCAACAGTTGGTGACTGAGGTGTTAAAGCAACCCAGTGTACAGTCACACAGATCAGCAGGGGACAGGCATTTTTTTTTTTCAAAAGGCTCAGGGCTCAAACTCCAACAGGGAGCTCCAGGGTCACTTCACTGATGAGTCCCAGACTGGAAGTAACGAAGGGCTATCCAGTCACAGTTGATTGCTGGCAGTTGCACAGCAGACTGTGGAAAATTCTGCTGAGAAATAAGGATTGGGACCACCCAGATTCTACTTCAGCAGCTGCCAAAGCCAGTCTTAGTCCCAGCTACAAAGGACTGGAGGCATCCCCCCTGCTCTGTGACAGGTCCAGGGGCGGGACAGGACCCCCCCCCCGCCCCTCCCCCCCCCGCCGCAACATGTCTAGCACATGACAGCAATCAGCGGTGTGGAACGGAGGAGGCCATGAAAGGTCCAGGAAGGGCCAATTGTGCACCAACCTGGGCGCAGCCTCAGGCTGGCTCCATCTGACGGTGCCACAATAGCTGGGAGAGTGGCATGGAGACTACAGTGGAGAGATATGGGTGGGCTGCCCGATGGACATCTGAAAAGTTGCTGGCTGAAGAACAGCCCCAGCTCCAACATCTGGAGGCCAAAAACAGTGCAGTATTCAGCACTAATCTTACTACAGACTTGGCAGGGTTGCACAGCACATCTCTGGGCTCTGTCTGTATCAGACACTAACAAAGAACTGTGGACACCAAAGGAATGTTATTATTTTTCTTTTTCTTTGTTTGCTTGATTCATTTTCCTTTTCTGTCTGGTTGGGTTTTTTTTTTTTTTTTGTAGATTGTTTAGAGTTTTTTTTTTCCTTTATTTTTGCTCTGTTCCATCCATCTTCTTTCTCTCTTTCCTCAACTATCTCTCTTGATTTTGTGATATCTTCATGTGAGCAAACAGTGTCTCTTGTCTTTCTGGTCTGCTTCAATATTCTTTTTCTTCCTCCTCCGTTCTTTCTCTCTCCTGCCTGCTTCTCCAGTTTCCCAAAGATTGGGTGCTCATTCTTCACTTCCAGCCTTGCTTCTATCACTATATTTCTCTTCATTTATCTCTCTGCTTTGTCCCCTATTCCTCTTAAATTTCCCCTCCGTGGGTTAAAAACACTCTGCTAAGGGCTAACTCATTACATACAAGCTCCTGATTTATGATGGATTTTGTTATATAATAGTAGAGCTTGCTCATATGGTTAAAGGTACCAAAATAATAGTTACAAGGGTTTGTCAGTTGTTAGGCTGTGCTTGATGCTCTTGTCATTGCTGCTTGTACTACTTTAGCCAGAATGTCATACCTGTTGTAATCAGTTGTTCTCCCTTATATGACAACACTGCAATTGTCTGAGATCAGTCATCACCACAGTCCAGTCCAGACTGGGTGCTGAGCTAACTAGATAGCAACCTCTCATCCTTAATAAATTGGGAAGGTAGGATCTTAGAAAGAAGATACACAAAGACCAAGAACCACCTCTACCTAGACAGTATCTCTGAGGAATAGACACTTCCTAGAGAAGCCTCATCCTAGTGATAAAGCTATCTACCATATGAAATCTACAAGCAATTACTCAGAAAACAAAATAAAAAATTTAAATATAGAAAATGAGAGGACACAGAAGCAAAATGCAAACCCATACCTGCAGGTACCCAAGAAAGTGCAGGAGAAATCAAGATAGAGGATATCAGAAGCCACTCACCTGAACTTTCTTAAATGATAGCAGCAGATGTAAAAAAAAAAGGTAGATAAGGATACAGAGAAACTAATCTCTCATGTTAAGAAAAGTGATAATCAAAATGCAGGACATGCTCAATGAATCTAGAGTATACATATATTTAAAAAATAGAAGAACTTAGGAAAATGATGGAAACCATGAATGCCCAACATAAGAAAGAAATGGAATCCATGAAACAGACTCAAACAGATACACAGAGATTAAAAACTTCAGTGAAAGTATACACAATCCTTTGAACCAAAATGAGGACAGGATATTAGATCGAGAAGATAGGACTGCAGTTTGACCATAAAAAGAAAGATTTCTTTAAAATAGCAAGAGGCCATGAAAAATCACCCCAATGATTACAAGATTATGCAAAGAAGAATGACATAAGATTGATCAAACTCACTGAAAAAGTCAGAGATAATACAAATGCCATAAAAAGCCTGTTCACAGAAGTAAGGGCAGAAAACTTTCAAAACATGAAAAAAATAAGGGAGGCATACAGAAATCTGAAGAGCCATACACAAAATCAATCTACACGAGACATACATGAATCAAGATTTGAGAAATTCAGCACAAGAACTATTAAAAGCTATTAGAGAAAAAGAAATATCACCTATAAAGGAAAACTCAGCAGAATCACAGCAGACTTCTCAACACAAACCCTTAAGAGAACTATTTCAAGCCCTGAAAGAAAACAACCTCCAACCCAGATTCATGTACCCTGCAAAACTATTTTTTGAACTCAAGAGAGAAATAAGATACTTCCCTGACAAAGAACAACTGAAGAAATTCACAACCAACAAACCAGCTCTACAATGTGTTCTGAAGGGTATTTTAGAAAGAGAAAACAAAAAATTCCAAGAACACCAATAGAAAGAAGCCACCAAGCTGTCTTCCATTCAATTTGTCTTTTCTTTCCTTTTTCTGATAAGGTTGGCTAAGGGTTTATTAATTTTATTTAATCTTTCAAAGAATCAACTCTGATTTTTTTTGTATCATTTTGTTAGTCTCAATTGCTTTAATTTCTGTTCCGATCCTTAAAATTTCCTCCCTTGTAGGAGCTTTGGGCTTGACTTTTTCTTTTTCTAGAAGCTTGAGATTCAGCATTAGGTTGTCTATTTGAGCTTTTTCTGTGTTTCTGATGTAAGAATTCATAGCTATAAATTTTCTCATAGGGCTGCTTTCATTGCGTCTCATTATCATTTAATCAGCATTATCATTTAATCAGCATTTCATTGTGTCAGCATTATCATTTAATTGTAGATACTGTTTACTTTCTTCCTTAATTTCATCTGCGATCCATTGGTTGTTCAGAAGAGTGTTATTTAATTTCCACGTGTTTATGGGATTTTTGTGGTTTCTTTTGACACTGATTCCCATTCTCACTGCACTAGAGTCAGAGAATATTCATGAAATAATTTCAATTCCTTTGCATTTACTTACGCATATTTTATGAGCTAATATGTGTTCTATTTTGGAGAACATCCCATGTGCAGCTGGGAAAAATCTGTATTCTGATGTTTGGGGATGGAGCACTCTGTAGACATCTACTAACTCCATTTGTTCACAAGTTTGGTTCTTTTAGACCTTGTGCTTGCAAAGGGAAAGATAACCTCTTTAATAAATGGTGTTAGCAAAACTGGATTTCAACTTGCCAAAGATTAAAACTAGACCCCTATCTTTCACCATGCACTAAAATAAAATCCAAGTGGATTAAAGAACTAAATATTAAAACAGAAACACTAAATTCACTGGAGATAAGTTAGGTAGAACTCTTTAACATATTGGCATAGGAAAAGACTTTATGAACAAGCCCGCAGTAGCATGGGAACTAGCACAAAAAATCGACCACTAGGATCTCATCTTATTAAAAAGCTTTTACACTGCAAGAGAAACCATCAACAGAGCTAAGAGACAACTTACAATGTGGGAAAAAATTTTACTGGCTGTTCCTCAGACAAACATCTACTATCTAAACTATATAAAGAACTAAAAAAAATCAGACCTCCCAAAATATAAAGACTCAATTCAAACAATGGGCATCTGAAATAACAGACATCTCTCAGACAAAGAAGTAAAAGCAGTGAATAAGTATATGAAAAAATGTTCCACATCACTGGTCATTCGAGCGATGCAGATGAAAACAACACTGAGATTCCACCTCACCCCACAAAGAATGGCTGCTATCAAGAAACAACCAATAACAAATGCTGACAGGTTGTGGGGAGAAAGGAACCCTTCTCCATTGTCGGTGGGAGTGTAGACTGCTGCAACCACTGTGGAAGAAATCAATATGGAGTTTCCTAAAAAAAAATTAGGATTAGAGGTTCCATTTGATCCAGCTGTTCCACTTCTGGGAATGTTTCCGAAATAATTAAAAGCATCATACCACAGTGATATACGTGTACCCATGTTGATAGCAACACAGTTTGGAATAGCTAAATCTTGGAAATAACCCAAATGCTCAACAACTAATGAATGGATAAAATGTGGGTTTTTTTTATACAATGGAGTACTACTCAGCCATAAAGAAGGATAAGCTTGGGAATTTTCCAGGTAAATGGATGCACCTAGAGACTATACTCTTCAGTGGAATAAATCAGAAACATATGTGTAAATATGGTATTGTCTCTCTGGTGTAAGAAACTGAAAGTGTAAATAAGCACCAAAATGTATACTAGATAATATGAAACAGGAAAAAGGAAATTGTTCAAAAAGAAAGAAAAAATAAGGAGAGATAAGGGGAAAAGGAAGGAAAGGAAAACTTAAAAATGAGAAAAGAAGAAAAAATGGAAACAAAACTTTTATGAATAAGGAGGGGAAAAGTGGTTGAAGGGAGTGTAGGGGAATGAAAAAGAAGAATCAAGATACATCATGTACAGGTACAAATTCCCTATGATAAACATGACCATTGTGTATATCTCAGTTCTACCAATAAATTAATAAAAAAATGTCAAGCACATAGGTACATTTGATATTTATCAAATAAACATTTTCTTTGCTTTTCTCATTATGTGAGAGCCCAATGCAAACTTGATAAAATATGTTTTATACCTCCCATATCCTGGTTTTATTTTCCTTTCTTGCAAATAGAAGTAGCGTCTTGTCAAGGGCCTGTCTGTAAAGTCCAGGATATTCTTGGCTTTATTAAGTTTGGGTCACGTGTAGCATTGTAGCCTCTTTCCCCATGTTTAAGGGTCTTGATTACCTCATATATTTCATGGTTTAGGGTCTCCACAAGGACATTTTCTCCCATCTGGTCAATGTGGACCACAGGCCTCTCCAGCTTCACTCGGTCCCCGAGGAGATTCATTATCCGCTCACTCACTTGACCAGATCCGCCCACAAACTTCCTCTCCTGGAAAGAAAAACGGTGGGTGGGGAAATACAGGACTGGGCATTAAATGACTAAGTGTTTAGTTCTCCACTCTTTCACCATTGTGTTCTAACTAGGGACTGCTGACTTTGGACAAAATAACAGGTTTTCTAAGTCACTTCCAGGCTGCACTCTTCAGAGCTAAGCCTTGTCCTTGTGACACAGGCTCAGAACCTCCATACCTCCATACCCCCAGGCCAGGCTCCTCCTGTCACCTGCTGTCCATCCCATCTTGGGTCAGGTACCTGCTGTTCTACAGCCACTATGGTCAATTCACCTCACTACACCCACCTGCCCTGAGCCCTGCTTCCAAATGTCACCAGGCACACAAACATTCTGTCTGGCTTTGCACACAGTTGAGCTGACTGCCTCTTCTTCAATTTTCAGTTCAGCTAATATTTTAAAAGACTGTTAAATAGGTCTGGGAAGGAAATGGAGAAACACAGAAGGAGGAAAGAAGTAAAGGAGGAAGGGGAAGGGGAATAGAGAAGGAAAAGAAAACAACTTGCAACTGTGCCTAGCATAGTGCGGTATGCAATGCCAGGACTAGGCACTTAATTAATAGATGGAAGGGCAGAAATGGGTCCTCACCTGCCCTCCATTGCTTATTGAGATGATTCTGGTAGTGCCTCCACACTGCTTGACGTACCACAGGAACCAGAGAGCAGAAACCTCATGGGTCTCGGCAGTGACACACAGGTTTACAAAAAGAGTGCCAAGCTGCTTTGCAGAACTGTTTACAAAGAAACAAGAGCAAAGTTGGCAAATACAGGAGATCTTCTTAATTATCTAGAAATTATTCAACTAATGCATTTTCTTGGCTGAGTTTAGCACAATTTGATAAACTAGGAAAAGCTCACTAGAATCTGATACCAAGCATGACAACAGAGATTTGGGGACTATGAGGTTTACTTCCCCTCTAAACAAGACACATCCCCGAGATGCAACTTCTTTTCTGTATTCTGTGCCATCCTGCTTTGATCCCACACATCTGATGCTCTTCCAGAGATGATTGCATCTCAGTAAAGGGCTCAGTGAATCACTAAGTGGCTAAATCACACTTAGAAATCATGTTTAATTAATCTCTCTCTCTCTCTCTCTCTCTCTCCACACACACACACACACACACACACACACACACACACTCCACTCCTTCTCCCTCCTTCTCCCACTCATCCAATCCATCAGAAAGTCCAGTCCTCTCATCACATCACCCTACCTACATCGCCACTAATTTAGTATCATCTCTGGCCAGGAACATCGCAATTGCTTCCTCTAGGCGAGTCTCTCTGCTGTCACTCATCCTTACCTAGAATCTACTGGCTACACTAAAAGCAAGGTGATGTTTACCTCTCTCTCTCTGTCATAATGCTCCTTCTCAACCCTGACTCAAGTCATGTCATTCCCTTGCTTAATCCTCTCCACTGGCATCCCATCGAAGCAGAATAAGATTCAGATCTTTCACTTGGCTTCCCAACCCTAAGTAATGTAGCTGAGGTATACCTTTTCTACCTCATCCTGTATAACCTCCCACTTACTCTAATGCTTCCCCAGAGAGATGCATTCTTATCCATCTATGAAAACGAGCACTAGCATCCATATTCACAGCACCCTGGCATTCTCTGTCATCTTGCCATTGTACAGTATCATTAGAACTCTTTTCAATGTCTGAAACTATTTTCTTCATTATTGTTGGGCTTCTTTTTAGTTACTGGGGAATAAATCCAGGGGTGCTTTGACCCTCCGCTATATTCCCCAACCTTTTTAAAAATTTTGAGACAAGGTCTCACTATGTTTTCCAGGCTGGCCTTGAATTTATGATACTCCTACCTCAGCCTCCCGAGTAGTTGGGATTATAGGCATGCACCACATGGCTGGCAATTTATTATTTTTTTATTATTGTCTCTCCCACTAGAATATCAACCTGTGAGAACATGAGCCTTGTGTTTCTCACTCACCATAGTGTCCCATTTAACAAAATAGTCCTTGGCATATGGTAAGCACCCAATGGTTATTTGTTGAATATCAAATGAATGAATAATGATAAGGAATATCAATTAAACATTTAAAAAACATTCATAATGTATAAAAGATATGTTAGGTGCTATAAATTAGTTACAATCTATTTTGCTATTTTACTCTCTAACAGAGGACAAGCTCAAAGATGGATGAGGAGAAAAGTGATTAATAAAGCATGCACACATGAGCTTTTGCTTCCGTCTTAGAAGGTAAATAGCTAAAGGTCATATTCTATGAAGAAGCACATCAGAAAGTGAACAATCTCAAATACAAGAACTCAGTAATGTGTAGCACACCCTAAAATTTATCATAGAGATGTGCACTGTATAATATCTTTAATAAAGACCGATCTCCCTTTTGACTTTGATGTAACGTTTGCAGTTTGTTAATCTAGTCACACTTAAGACAGAATTTCCCAGCCGGTAATGATAATAATGGATAGGATAAATGCTACCATCTTCCATGTGTTGAATTCTTTCTACACTCCATAGTCCTTAAACTTATCTTGTTCAATTGTTGTAAGAATTCTATAAATAGCCATTATTTTTCCCCAGTTCACAAGCCAGAAAATTTAATCTGGGAGAGTTCCATAGTATGCAGTTACATAACTCAATGGTACAACTTCAAACTAGCTCATATTTGACTCAAAACTCAAAATGCTGTATAGTCGGTTGACAACCTGGCAAATGCAAGTATTCACCAAAGGACATTTCATTCCTCTAATGTATCTTGACCCTCGAAGTTCAGAAGACCTTGCCTAACATTCAGACAAGCTATTGACAATGTCTGCAGTCCTCATAACCAAACAGCACTTTTGTGACAACTCCCATCATTACAGCCTGCAAAATGGTGTCCCATTGACTTTGAAGTGACTTTGAGTTAGTTTTGTAAGATTCCCCATGATAATTAAAGACGTGCAAGTTGCCGAGGCAATCTGTGATATCCATCTAAAGCAACTATTCAGACATTGGTGTAAAAATATTACTTCAGGGTGAAAGATACCTTTTGTTGTTTCCTGACACCATACTTCTTTTGTTCTTTATTTTATAGTTTAATTCAGGGGCATAAGGTAAAGGATGTAATAACTAAAATATAATGTGGGCCCAGCTAGACAGACAATATTAAACATAAAAATATTGCTGAGATTCTAATTGTTATCGTCAATTTAGTGAGAAAGAAATAATCATAGTTTGAAATGAAGGGACAACTTAAAGTAGTTATACTAGCTAGGTATGGTGGTGCAGAGGCTGAGAGGCTGAGACAGAAGGACTGCATGGTCAAGCCCAGCCTGGAAAATCCTGTGAGATCCTATCTCAAAATAAAAGATAAAAAAGGACTAGGGGTGTAGCTCAACCATGGAAAAAGTACAGTTGTTCCCCTAATCCACAGGAAATATATTCCAGGACCCCTGGTGGATACTGAACCTCATATTGTGTTTCTATACTATACACATAGAATATAAAATTTATTTTATAAATTAGGCACAGTAAAAGATTAACAGTAACTAATAATAAAATAGAACAATTTTAACAAATACTATAATAAAAGTTATGTGAATATAATCTCTTAAAAGAGTCATGACAAAAATTCAGATGAAGGTTGACTAGGGATATCTAAAAATCACAAAAAGCCAAACCGTGGATTGGGAAAGCGGTAATTCTCTCTGGAGGATTGTCCATGCCTAATCTTTATTTGATTTACTCTGGTAGTTATAATATTTTTCCCTATTGATGTTTTAAAAGATAAATGTTATAAAGTTTTTCTACATGAAAAATATGTGTACATTAGATAAAATTGGGAAAATTGATAAGATTAAAAATAGGAGAGGATGAATATTGTTATTTTCATTTAAATATGAAGCATCCCCCAAAGGCTCATGTATTGAGGGCTTGATCCACAGTGTAGCAATGCATGGAAGTGGGACCTAGAAAAGTGGCTGGATCCTGAGGTGATTCCTCATCAATGGATTAATGCACTAATGAGTCATTAGTTGGATTCCTCTCTGGTTCTTACCCCACACTCTGCTCCCCAGACATCATGAGGTGGCCAGCTTTCCTCCCCTACACCTTTCCATTGTGATGCCAGACACCACAGCTGCAGCCAGCCCACCATGTACTGAATCCTCCAAAACTATGAGTCAAACACCTCCTTTATGTGGTGTATGTTAGGTATTTTGTCACAGTGACAAAAAGCCGACTGATACAAGTATACTTCCTCCTGTATATCCCCCCAAAATAAGACCTGTTAAACTGGAAAGTGAGCCCTAACTTCAGATGCTAATAAATAAAATAAGCCCCTGTTAATATCATCAACCAGATGGATGCATTAAGTACATCTGTTGTAACACATGATGGATGTATTGAACTATAAAATAATATTAATATATAATTAAATATAAATAATATTATCTATATTAATACAAGATAATATAAATTATAATTGAGTATTTGTAAATATCCAAGCAGGCACTTCAGATAAAAGGTAAATGCCTATGGAAAAAGATGAACTCCAGACTCAATGCCAAATGACCAAAGTACGTGGTTGTGTCTAATATGAATCTTCATAATTCAAGATATCATATGTTGTAACGGACATACTTAATGTACTCATGGGAAATAAAGAAACATTTTCTGAATTTTGGTGCCTGCAATTTTTTATAGCTTTTGCGAGGACCATCATTCTTAACTGTCATCATTTTTGCTGCCACTCCTGTCTCGTAAGTCTTCAGTGATTTAATGGAAACTTTGTGAACCCTAGCCTGCAAGAGGGCGTGTCTTGCATGAAGAATTCATGAGTTAAAATCACTAATAGTTGTATTTCCAATGCTCTATGAGCAGACTACATGGACAAGAAGTGCTCACTATTGTTGGACAGATTGGGACCAATGGTTCTACAGGAAATGGAGTTGAAAGAAATTCAGACTGGAATTTGGGGCTTCCAGAGTTATCACAATGTTCCAGAAGAAGATGACATGACTGTATTTGAAAAAATTAGACTTTTTGTACATGAATAAATGAATAAATGTAGATTTTTCTACATGATAAAATACAATATTCCCTTAAAATAAGCCCTATTGTATCTTCTGGAGCAAAAAGTAATATAAGACCTGGTTTTAGTTTCAAGAAATATGGTATTTATTTCTCCAAAAGATAATTACTAGTGCATTTGATGTGTGCTTTTTTAGGCATAGGCTTTCTAAAAATGATCATGTACTTGTACATAGCATATTTAAAATATAATTTGTGTTTCAGAAGAGCATTTACAAAATGACAGCAACTGAAAAATATGATCAAGATTTGCCTCTAAATGTCTAATTGTTTGAATATTTAGTTTGAATCAAAATAGGTTGGATATGCTGGAAATGACTTCCTTAAAAATCAGTAAATGATCCTATGTATATCTTGCTTAGAAAATTGTTTGTTAGCAAATTTATAATACCCCAAAACGCTTTATTTAATCAGTGAACAAACTAAAGTATTCACTAAGTGGAGAACTAGACCAAGGACTAGGATAGAAAATCTCAGATCTTTATGATCCCAAATTGGCCCTATCTTCTGAGAGTTTAGAAGCTCTCTGTGGAGGAAATATCAAACTAAATTTATGAGAAACTTTTCATAATAGAAATTATAAAACAATGCAGATAATTATATATACTCATTATAGTTTGAAAAACTAAAGTATAGAATTATGAGCAAATACAATTTGATTGCAATCAAAATAAAAAGTTACATTATAAATTAAATTCTTGTAAGAAGTGTTAAATAACATTACATAAGGGTTTAAAAGGATACAGTTAACAATAGGCATTGATTTCATGACATGAAATGATTTTACTATTCCAGAATGGATTGCTTTCAATGCATGATGACAGAGAAGTACAATATTTATTACAGAGTTTTATACAATGATAATAATGAAAAAGCAAAATAAATCATGATGAGGCCAGGCATTGTGGCACACACCTGTAATCCCAGCACTCGGGAGGCTGAGGCAGGAGGATCACTGTGAGATCAGCCTGGGCTACACAGTCAGTCTCAACTACATAGTGAGACCCTGTCTCAAAAAAACCAAAAAAAAAAGAAAGAAAGAAAAGAAAAATCACAATGTCCAACAGAATGATAATGGATAAATACATTATGGTATTCATTTCCCATGAAATATGATGTTTGATGAAGAATGTTTAATTATTTACTGCTTCAAAGCTATTTTAACCATTTTAACATACATGCTTGGATCAAAATATTAAATATTAGAAACACTTCATTGGATTTCCATTGTTTTTGCAATGCATTAAAAACAGCTTTATTTTTAAGAATGAAATTATATGCCCCACTGTACATATTCCATGATAGTTTGTTTTCCTACGTGCATCTCAAGTCATTAAATATTCCATTTTTTGATAGCCTATAACTAATTTAGCCAATCTTTTACTGCTGGATCTTTTAATTTTTTTCTTTTAAAGATGTTGCTTGAAATTGCCTTTCTCCCTCTCTCCCTCCCTGTTTGCTGCAAACCCCTTTCTTTTCATTCTCTTTCTAAAGCTAAATTCTTAGAAGCTGTATTTTTATATCAAAAATTATGTATCAAAATGTGTAATTGTACATGTTTTGATTATTTCTATATCATAGATTTAGATATTTCTAAAATTGTTTTCATGGTTAATTTTCCAAGTCCTACTGCTCTCCCCAAAGCCTAGAGAATAATGATGTCAACCTCAGAACAAAACATATTTCCAGCTACTGTTTTTTTTTGTTGTTGTTTGTTTTGTTTTGATTTGATTTTTGTGGTACTGAGGATTCAACCCAGGACCTTCACACTAAGCTACATCCGCAGCCTTTTAAAAATTTTGTTTTAAAAGTTTGAGACACATTGCTAAAATACCCAGCCTGGCCTTAAACATAGGATCATCCTGCCTCAGCCTTCCAGAATACTGGGATTATAAGTGTGCCACCAAACCCAGCTTAAACTACCCTTGTTTAGCATAAATGGTCAGTCTCCTTGGAGTTACCTTCCATTTCTCTCTTTTTGTGGACCACAAACTCACCATGTGCTAAAATTGGAATCCCCATAATCCCTTCCACTGTCCCTGCTGTCCAAGAGCAGTGAGGCCACTCCATGTCACCTGTCTAAAATGCCTCCACATACCGAATCGTTTCTCTGGGGAGAAAAACTGTAACAGTACTTAAGATCCTAATGAGAAAACTGACAATGTGAAATGGGAAGAAAGGGGCTAAAGGTGTAGGGAAAGTGGGAAGGGTAGGGGAAAGGTAATAAGGGAAAATAAAAAAATATGAGAAAATGAAAATAAAGTGTTTGTGAAGGGGGAGGGAGGAGGGGTGAAGGGAGGGCAGGGACAAGGGGAAAAAATGAGAACCAAGACCTGTCATGTAAAGGTACAAAATCCCAATGATGAATGTAACTGTGCTGTATGCCTAAAATGTACCAATAAACTCCATTAAAAAACAAAACAAAACAAAACAAAAATAAATTAATAAAAGGCCTCCACAATTTGCATATAGGTTCCACTGCCATTAACAAGAATTTCATGTTTGACTCATAAATGCTTGCTTTCAACACTACAGGTTTTTCATTAAAGGATAGCAATAGGTCCAGTCACACGTTTCCCCTAGAGTTGTGAATTACCTAGAACTTCCTATTCAAATCCTGAAAGAGTTGCATAACATCACAAAAAGGTGTTCCAAATTCATGAACTAATCATCTCTACATTTAACTACCAGTGAGGAATACAAAAATAGTCCTATGATGACAATTTGATAAATTCTATCTTTATACTGATGGCCTTTAAGGAAAGGAGGTCACACATGCTGGTCTGTTCTGAGGACTTTATGGGTTAATACTAACACCAGCATGGAAAATGGAACTTTAAAAGTTAAATTTTTCCTTTGGAGACAAGTGGCTTCTCTAAACTTCCTCATGCTGAGGGCATAACCATACCCACCCACCCTCAGCTCACAGAAACAGAAATAGGCAAATGTTGGCTCCAGAAGGTCAAGGTACAGGAGCGACGAAGCAAGCTTGGGGATGGTTGTTGTCTCATTGCATTCCCTCTCCTCTCTGTTCATTACTATAAGAGACCCCTGCACATCTGTACCTGGGGAGATGGTGATTTGAGGCAAATGAGGTCCCTCTGTCTCCTCAGAGCTACCTTTGAATAAAGCCTTTTTTCCTTTTCACCAAATCAAATGGCCTCCTTTGGCTTCGTCAGCAGTGAGCAGTGGACCTGAGTGGCTGGTAACAATACCACCTTTGTGATGCTAAACTATTTCAGAGAGATAAGTTGTATGCATACCTATGTTTAGGATGGCACCTGGTTCCAATATTTTTCAACATTTCACTAGGCCAGTGAGTGGTGTGGTTTGAGACACAGAGCAATTACGTGTCCCATCCCTGATGAATGCTACTGCTAAATAAACCCGAAAGACAGTCACAGTAAATGCTTGTGTTCCATGTGTCTTACTTAGTCCAGCAGATCTTGTTCAGCAGCTCCTTCATGGTCATGTGGTCCCACTCTTCTGCAAGGGGTGCCTTCCAGGGGGCATCGCAAGGGATCTACATTCAGATTAAGAGTCAAAGAAAAAAGCCAAAGATAATTTCCATCTTTGATAACTATTCAAACATTATTTGAAATTCTCTAACTTAAAAAAGAAAAATATAAGTTAAAATTTCCACCATAGTATCTTTCACTTCATAAACAATGTTGTCCATGTAGCTTTGCTGTTACAGATAAATACCACTCAATCCATATTTCTTTCACAGTAACACTTCCTGCACAATAAACGGAGGTATGTTGCAAATGCTTATTTCCAAATATGGACTGCAGTAGTCCTCCCTAATCCATGAAACATATGTTCCAAGACCCCAAGTGGAAGCCTCAAACTGTAGACTGTACTAAACTCCATATACATACTCTGGTCACCCCATACACACATACCTACAATAAAGTTTAATTCAAAAATTAAGCACAGTAAGAGATTAACAACAATAATAAAATAGAATAATTTAGATATATACTGTAATAAAAATGATGCAACTGTGGTTTGTTTATTTCTGTAATTTTCCACTTAGCATTTTCAAACTGCTGTTGACAGTGGTTAACTGAAGTCACAAAAAGTGAAACCATGGATAAGGAGGGACTGCTTTACTAAAGTTACTAATTTTCTCAGAATATTCACCAATTCAACTCTTTAACAATGATCAGACAGCTGTCCCAATTCACTTCTAAAGAAGTTTCTCCTAAAGTCATTTCTAAAGGATTTTCACCTAAATCTTGCATGTGTGGGCTGTGGGTTTGTACATGGTGAACAATCAAAGACCCAGATGTCTTGTTTTGTTGTGTCCTAAAGATTTTCTAAATTAGAAACATCACTCCGAGAAGGCTGAGTGATAGATACATAGACTCTTGCCCACTCACCAATAGTTTGTAATAGCTGCCTGTTTGATACCTCATTGTTTTAGAAGTCAGAAACAGGTTCATTCATCTATTCGTTTCACAGAGTTTTGATTGCTACTATGCACTCAGCAATAGGCTAGTCACGGGAGATGGGTGACACATGGCACCTTCTTTCTTTTAAGGACTAAACTTATGAAAAACACCAATGTAGTCAAAGACAATTTAGGAAGATCTACCTCTTGCCCCATATCATCCATTGTCCTCCAGAGGTTGTTATGATCTAGGTAGTTAATCGGATTCCACACAGGTGGAAACGAGCCTCTGAAGGGGTATGATTTGCCCTGTAAGATAAAAGATATTTTAAGAGGAAGCACTGACAATACAAATGTAATTAAGTCTGCCAAATAGGTACATGTCTGCAAGAAAAATCACATTAGCTATCATATGGGACAAACACTCAAGGTGCTTTGATTTTTGGTTTTTTGGCTCCTTGTTTCCTTTAGAGTCTTATGTAATTTTTTAGCATACAGATGTCCAATAAAATCCTTTGTCAACTCACTGTGTGGTACCACACCAAACATAGTAAAGAAGTTTCTCTCTGAAACCACAATACTTACCATGTAAAATTTAAATGCCAGAATAAAAGTGGGGTTACGAAAAATAATCTCATTTGCCAACAATGCTTGTATAACAATCTTGGAATCAGAGCCCTTGTGTGTATAGTAAAAAATTACAACTATAAAAATTATATAAATTAGAAGTAGATGAAAAACCAAACATGGAAATGCACTCATCTGTAAAACAGGACCCAGAAAGCTATCCCAAGGAGACAAAAGTATTATGTTAATCTAGGCTTGCCAGAGATTAGAAAAATCAAAGCAGAATGGTGAGACAACTTCAAGATTTTCTGGACACATTTACATCCCTTGGTTCTCTCCATGGGGATTCCTGACACAGAGACAAAGGGAACATATATCTGCAAAGGTCTAAAAATAGGATAGCACACAAATCAAGTCTGGAAGGGTTAACTTGTTGAAGGCAGTTAAGAGATACAAAAGCCACTCTGAGTGAATCTGAAAATGAGTCAGAAGTCGGGCTGTGCATTCTGATAGCATCTTTTAACTGAATCAGAAGAATTCAAGGTTCTCCATAAACCCCAAATCCCCCAAAACCCACAACAATCCTGAATCATTTAGCAAAGATTGATCTTGTAGCCAGAGAGACTAGAGGTGAGAAATGAGAAGACATTTCAAAGTCGTTCTTGTGTTAATTCTGTGGCTATGTTGGTCTTCTTGGTCCAACAAACTTGTAAGAATCACCGGGAAGAGTTCTCAGTCAGGGTTTTATAAAGAAATGGGAGAGTGAGCAAGACAGTGAGAGGCGAAAAGTGAGCTTTTCATATTGAGGGTATACTCCTAAGTGAAATAAATAAGTCACACATGTGTAAATACCGAATAGTTTCTCTGGTGTGAATAACTATAATAGTACATAAGATCTTAATGATATAATTGACAATGTGAAGTAGGAAGAAAAGGGCTAAGGGTGTAGGGAAAGTGGGAAGGGTAGGGGAAAGGCAATAAAGGAAAAGAAAAAAATAGGAGGAAATGAAAAAATAGAAATGAA